TGCTGCAAGGTCAGCAGCTGCTTTTGCTCCATTGCCATCAGCTCCAGGGCTAAGCAGGGCTCCTGCAGCAGGATTTGAACACTCCCTTCTGGAGGAATAGGACCATATGATGAGCTTATTGAAGACTTGGGATCTGTTTGAGTAGCACACTCATCTCAGGACCTTTGTTAGAGGAGGGCAGCACAGTGCAGAACTAGGGGTGCCATCGTGTGTTCCTATCACAGCTAGCTGGGGCTGGGAATCCACTCGTCACTGCACAGAGAAGGTTTCTAAGCACTAGCGTTTGGGAGTAACCGAAGATTCGGGAGCTCTCCTGATCCCCCTCCCATTGCAGCTATTTTCCACTGAAACCACACTCCTCGCCGTAGTCTGTAGGCACCTTCCAGTTGGGCATTAAGCAATGTGATTACGCATCTCTCCCATGTTTGTTCTCTTATCCTCACCCCAGAGGGAGTAGCACGTGCAGGGGAGTGTCTTGTTTTGGTAGGGGTGATTTTAATCTTATTTTTATTAAATAAATACACCAGTTGCAGAATGGAGGTCAAAGAAACGCACCTTGCACTTCGAGCAGAAAGTGGTGAGGTTTGTGGTAGCCCTTAGTTCCTGGCCAGGGGAGTTCATTGCACAGGCTCAGACTGCCCCTGGAGAAAGGTCTGTCTCTCTCACAGATGAGCTTTACTCTTTTTATTGTTCCATTGTGACAGAGGAACAAAGTTGTCGACAAGGTCTTCATCCCAGTCCGACCTTCATCCCTTAAATGAACTTTTAGTTACCCTGGCACAGGCCGTCGAATGCTTTGAGGATAAGGACTGAGCCTTGAATTTGAGTGGAAATGCTAGGGGAAGCCAGCGTAGAGAGAGGACTGGTGCTCATGGCAGGCTGTGGTGTTGAGATGTGCTACAGTGTTCTGTACTCGGAGTTCCCTAAGCACTGCAGGTTTCATGCCCAGGTATATTGCATTGCTGCAGGCCAGCTGAGCAGTGATGAAGGTATGAATAACTGAGGCCTGGCCTGATGGGATGGTGTGTCCTAGCCAACTGGAAGTGGTGGAAAGCATTACTCACAACCACTGTGACATGCGAGCTTGTTGTCAGTGAGGAATCCAGGAGTACTCCTAAGTCGATGGACTGAATTGACCAATTGTGGATGTGAACTTCAGCCAAAGGAGACTCCATCATGGCTGCACACTCTTCAAAATACTTTCCCCCACCCTCCAGCATCACCTCAGTTTTGCTCGGGTTTAGCATCAACCAGCTGTTCTTCATCCATGAGCTGATCTCATCCAAGCATTGTGTTGTCTTGGTGGTAGGCGTGTGGTCATACGTGGTGAAGGATGGGAAGAGCTGTGTGTCATCGGCATATTGCTGGCACTTGAGTCCATGTCATCTGACATGTTCACTGAGCAGTTGGATGTAGATGTCAAAAGGGACCGGTGAGGGAATTGATCCTTGTGGAAACCCTAAGTGAGGGATCTAGTGGTAGAGGTGCAGTTGCCCATCACTGCTTTTTGGGTGTGTTTGTATAGGAAGGACTCAAACCATTTTACCTCATTACCCTGGACTACTGTCCTCTCAGGCCAGACAGCATATTTCACAGTCATTCGTGTCAAACGCTGTAGAGAGGCCCAGGAGGAGGAGAATGGCTGTCTGGCCTCTGCCCACTGACAGCAGGAGATCACCCATCAGTGCCACTAGGCCAGTTTCATTTCTATGTCCTAGCCTGAATCCATGTTATGCAAGATTTAGAATGTTAACTTCAGTTGGGCGAGCTTGTAGTTGGCCTTTTGCTAGCTTCTCTGCGAGCTCAAGAATGGGAGGTTTGATGCTGGGCTAGGACTGAATTACCAAGGCTGGAGGCTTTTCTAGCTGCAATTTAGTCCTCAGTTGTCATCCAATCATTCCATTGTTTACTTTTAGCATTCATTTATTTTACTTTTCTAGCTGCAGTTTATTGTTCCATTTTCTAGCTGCAATTTTTTGTCCTTCCTTCCAGTGTTGTTGTCACTAAGATGGAGAGCTCTAAGCTGGGATGCCAGAGCTACTCCAGCAGGAGAACAGGACTTTATTTCCTCTTTTTACATCCCTTCCTACAGCCCTCTCCACTACACCTCTGAATGCCAAGTGCTAGCTGCCAGTCACTGGTTTGCTCAGATCCTCTGGGAGATGGGACGTGAGCACACAATCCTTTAAGGTTTTATAATGGTATTTATTATCTTTAAAGAGCAGGGAAATGTATCCCAAGGCAATAACCCAGAGATGAGCAACTATTAAAGCTCTCAGTGGTGGGCCAGTAACTTCCCGGGACCATCCCATGAGCCATGTGATTGGGAGACGAGAGAGGCTGGGGCCTTTTGAACCATCCTCACAGCTGCATGTTCACGCCCTGTCTCCTAGTGACTGGCTTGCACACTCAAGTAGCTAGTCTCTGAGGGTGTGTCTACACTGCAGTTAACCCACAACTGCCCTGTGCCAGCTGACTCGGGCTTAGGGTTTAGGGGTTGTTTAATTGTGGTGTAGATGTCCAGGCTCATGCTGGAGCCTGGGCTCTAGGATCCTGCGAGCTGGGAGGGTCCCAGAGCTAGGGCTGCAGCTGAATGTTTTCAATCCACTAGTGAAATGAGTGTCCCTGAACTGCCATGACCCACTTCTTACCCTGAGTTGCATCCTCTAACCAGCAGCTGCAAGGCATTGCAGACAAGAGCAGCCTGGTTTCTGTAAGCCCCCAGATAGATCACAGTGAAATCACTCAAACAGGCATTTTGCCTGCCTCCACCACCTGAGACTGGCCTCTCCCACTGAAGTATTAATGTCAATGAGTGCAGCAGCAAGCAGTCAGAGGGGCTGTAACCTCGGCCAAGGAGGAAATGCCC